CAGATGGCCAGCAGTACGGACTGTGCAGGACAAGTTAGGTGGAAGCCATTTTTTTTTTTGGAACCCCCTGGGAATCCTGGGTGCTCTGATTCAATCACCTGGCAGCCAGCCTCCTCCACACTCCAAATCCTGAGTCACTGTGTGCCTCCTGCCTTGAGCAAAGGTGATTCCAGGAATAAGTGTGGCTGAGCTGCTGGTGGAGTTGGATGCTGACTGGTGACTGGAGCAGGAATCCATGGGGCAGGACAGGGACACTCACTCTCAGAGCTGTGAGCTGTTACCAGCGTGAGGAGAGGAAGCCAACCAAGGATCTTTCCACAACCACAACCGTTCCCTGGTAGAGGAACCAGGATGCAGGCCTCTCTCTTTGGACAAGGCTCCTCTGGGCTTTTTTAGAATCAAAACATCAGTAGAGGGAGCATCACAGTTCATTTGCACCTTGAGTCCTGAGCCCCACCTGTCTTTGGATCTGACTTGCTTTGTGATAAAGATGGTAGGATGTGGGTACAAGCTATAGGGCCTAGGGTGCTGGTGAGAGCTGATGGGAAATATTGACTCTCAGTGAGGGTGGGGCTCTGAGCTGGAAGGATTTGGGGTAGGTAGCCCCAGGGAACTGACCCAGGATTTTCTCAGCCCCTGAGACAAACATGTGTTTCTTTTCAGGTGTCAGAAGATGCTCAATAGCTTCTGGAAGTGTGGCTGCCTTTCCGCCTCCAGCAGTGCACCTGATGGCCCCCAGGAGCTGCAGTCCTTACAGCAAATGCAGAGACCTGCAGGAGGTCAAGAGGAATCAGCAGATGCTATGTTCATGTCCTAAATTCCCTGAGAAGTTTGGCAACTCTGCACAGTTTTCAATATTTGGTTCCATTTTCACTTTTCAATTGTTACAATTTTTGCAATTAGCTCTCCAACTACTTGAAAAATAAATCTAACCAGTGCGAACACTTTCCAGTCTCCTCTTGGGTTGTGGAAAATGAGATAGATCTCTGCATCAGGATCTCATTGTAGCAAATGAACAAGGTACCGTGTGAGACTTCAGGCTTTGCAGATCAGAAGTCTGTTGCAACTCCTCAGCTCTGCTGTTGTAGTGTGAAAGCAGTGATAGACAATACCTGATTGGGTGAATGTGGCTGGATCTCACTCTTGGTTCATAAAAGCCAGCAAATGTATGACCTGAGAGGTATCTGTAGTTGGACAAGGTACTGAGGGGAGTTCATGGCCTTCCTACTCCAGGATCACAACACAGAGCCCTAATGTTCTGAGGCAAGGCTATGTCTCTTGCCACAAGGAGACCCTCAGCATTTAAAGAGGCTCCTGGCAAAGTACTGGGACCAGGAGAGATGAGGCTCTGGCTCTGGGGCCTCAGAGTTGTCCATTGTGAGTGTCTTTGGGTCAGCTAGACCCAGCAATTAGAGAATAGAAGTGAGCAGGGTCACAGGGACCATCCATATGATAGAAGGGTAATATGCTGAAAAGATAGAGCAGAAGTCATTCGGGACCTCCATCCTTCCTCTGGACCTTCCAGCTCCTCTGGGAGGACGGAGGCCACAGGATCCAAGGAGCCGCTGTGGCTGTGAGGGAGGGACCTGGCCCAGGCAGCCTGTCACCTGCCCTCCGAAGGCTGAGAGGGAGGGAGCCAGGCAGTCACCAGTGACGGGGTGATCCGGCAGCCAGGCAGAGTGGTTAGGGGTGAGCAGGCTGGCAGGCAGGCAGGCTGAGAGGAAGGGAGCCAGGCCGCCACTGTGGTTATGGATGATGAGGAGGGCAGGCAGAGTGGTTAGTGGTGATCAGGCTGGCAGGCAGGCAGGTGATCAGTTAGGAGCCATAGTTCCTGGATTGCAAGATGGATGTCTGACTGCCAGTTTAGGCTTGAATGGGCCAACGGGTCTAAATCGGCTGTCGGATACCACCCGAAGGGTCCCTGATTGTGAGAGGGCACAGCCCTGGCTGAGGGATTCTCCCCTACCCCCCCCCCCCCCCCATGCATGAATTTCATGCAGGGGGCAAGATATAAAGAGAAATGTCCCATATCTCCATACCAGAAATGTGCGCCAGCACTACCAACGACTTCTTGCCAGCTCACAGATGGGAGTGGAGCAGTTGCCTATTGCTGCATGATCCACATTCTCTCACTCCCACTCTAGCCAGAAGCTACAGGCTGGACAGTGATGAGTTCGGGCTCTTCACCATACTGAGGACAAATTGGTCGGGACACCCATGTGTGTGACACGCTACATCCTCCAAATGTAGGGTCCACAAAGTAGTGCAGTGGCCAGATCTGGTCCCCCATTCCTTCGCATGGGTCTCTGGCTGCTTTTGCAGCATGAAGATGGAGGTGTGTGGTGTTTACAGAGACAGGCACTATGTGTTCTGCGAAGATGGTCACATTCACTGTCAGTGTATAGAAACCATCAGCAGACATGAGCCTAAATCCATGACCGTCATATGCTGTGCCTCCTCAGTAAGTGGAAAATGTGGGTGTGGGACCCCAAAGAACTGGGTGGTAAAACCGGCTGAGCCGGGGGAGGAGCAGTGGCCGGTGAGGGCAGGGTCTGAAATGAGTGCCTGGGGTTGCAGGTTCTGTAATCCCTCTGAAGAGTTGGCTTTGAAGTCCTAGGTGAGGAGAAATGGTTATGGTGGAGGGTGTGCTGTGGTGGCCAAGGGTGGGAGCAGGGAAGGGGCAAGGGTTGTGTGTTGGTGCCTGTGTGTGGAGACCCTGCCCAGCACCCCTGTCCTGATAGCACCTCTGTTCCTGCTTCCCCACATGTGGGCTGGTGGAGGAAGGAGAGGTCGTGGAAAGTGTGTTGGGAGAGTGTGGGGTGAGGGTGGTTTTGTGGGTGTCATCAGTTAGGCTGGGTATTAAGGAGCCATCTCCCTTCCCCTCTTCTTGGCTGCTGGAGGCGGGAAGGATGTGGTAAAAAGTGGACTGAGCTTGAGCTTGTGTCTATTGCAACCAAGGCTGCTTTTATGACTCACAGTTCAGAAGAAAGCGGCGGCGGGGCCAGGCTGCGCAGCTCAGAGGGAGAGGAGACCGCCGGGAGACCAAAGGACTAGCTTTCCACCTGCGCTCATTCGCCGGGCGCCTCCCGTCCACCTCACCTGGTCACGAAAGCGACCACCCCGGACAAGGGCGGGGGACGGACGGCCGCGGCCTGGGACACGTTTGTCCGCCTTCTGCGCCTTTCCCCGGCCTTTCCCGGGCCTCTGCGCCTTTCCCCCGCCGCCGCCGCTCGGAGCCGCCGGCCGCCTGCTTCTGCGGTCCCCACGCCCGTCCGCCTGTCCGCCTGTCCGGAGCTGAGCGCACCGACCGCGGCTGCTCCCATGGCGAGGACCCCGGGCCCTAAGTTCAGCCTCTTCCTCCTGCTGCTCGCATTGCTGCTGGCCTGTGTGTGCGCGGCGCCCGGCGCCTAGGGGCGCGGAGGTGAGTCCCCAGGAATCTGAGCGGCGGGCGGGGGGGGGGGGGGGGGGGCGGAGGGGGAGGGGGCGCTGATGGGGGGCAGGGGGAGAGGGCGGGAGGGCGCTGATGGGGGGCATGTGGAGAGGGCGGGAGGGCGCTGATGGGGGCAGGGGGAGGGCGGGAGGGCGCTGATGGGGGGCAGGTGGAGAGGGCGGGAGGGCGCTGATGGGGGGCAGGGGGAGAGGGCGGGAGGGCGCTGATGGGGGGCAGGGGGAGAGGGCGGGAGGGCGCTGATGGGGGCAGGGGGAGAGGGCGGGAGGGCGCTGATGAGGGCGGCGGGAGGGCGCTGATGGGGGGCAGGGGGAGAGGGCGGGAGGGCGCTGATGGGGGGCAGGGGGTGAGGGCGGGAGGGCGCTGATGGGGGAGGGGGGGCAGGGGCGCGGAGAAAGGACGGGTGAAAGGCCCGGGAAAGAGGAAGCTGGGACTTTAAACTCGCGGGCAGGGCCCATGGCAGGTCCAGAACCTCCGCTCCTCAGTGCCCTTCAGGGGCTCATTTCCCTCCCACCTAGGCTTCTGGGCAGCATTGCCTTGGGGAAGGCGGCTGCGGTTCCCAGTGCGCTGTCCAGTCATGCTTCTGGGGAACTGGGACCCCTGCTGAGGTCACTGGCCTGGTCTCCCCTGGAGCCCAGCTCTGCAGGTTCTACCTCCCGCCCTCTGCCTCTGCTGGCCTGTGCCCCTCCTGCCCCCTGGGAGTCACTGCTGCCCTCACCAGCCCACCCAGGTCCATCACCCAGCTGTTGAGGGTCCCCAAGCCAGTGCTTCCAATACCCTTTTATCCCTCACTGACCCTAATCACTTCCACCACTACTGGCGCTGGCTGAGGACACACAGAGGACTTTCTGGAGATGTGGTTTCCTGGCAGGCAGAGGCCTCCTGGTCCTCCTCAAGCAAGGGAGGGGCCCCAACCTTCCCCTGGTGAAGGGAGGCACTGGGCAGGGTCAGGCCTTGCTCTGCCAGCCCGGCCATCACGGGGATTGTCTTGCTGTCACAGAGATGGGGGAGTGGTGTTTTGGGTCTTTTCCTTCCAACCCCAGTCCTCAGCAGCATTTTTCCTTTACAGATTCTCCCTCTCTTCACTATGATTTCAACATTTCTTCCGATAAACAACCATGGTGTATGGTCCAAGGAAAGATGGATGAAGAGAAGTATCTTTTATATGACTGTGGCAACAATAAGGTCATATCTATGAATCTCCTGAGAGAGGAGGGAAAGGCCATTCATTCCTGTGAAGGAGAGTTAGGAACCCTGAGCAACATGGGAAATGAATTAAAACCATTACTGGCTGACATTAAACGTGAGAAATATGCAGATGGAAGTAAGTTTGAAAAATTCAAGGGTAGAAGCTAGCAGATAGTGGGGCTAGCTGTATGGATTGTGTTCATTTAAAAAGAAAACTGGATGGTGGGCCTTCCCACATAGCCCAGCAGTAAGGCGAGGGAGAGCAGGGCAGAGTTAGAAGTGTTCAGAAAAGGTGGACACCGGGTGGGACAAAGCATTTGTCAAGACCAGAGGCTGATGTCTTTCCCATGGGGCTGTGGGGCAGCTCCTCTCACCCTGCAGGTCAGGATGACGTGCCATGGAAGCACCAGTGGGTCCTTGGAGTTTTCCTTGGGTGGACAGAGGCTCCTTACCTTTCACTCTGAGACTGAAGAATATAAAGCAGATGATTCCGAAGGTGAACGGCTGAAGAAGAAGTGGGAGAAATATGATGATTTGAGCAAAGACTTCAAAATGACCTTAAAGGGAGACTGCAAGGAATTGTATAAATGCTGGGTACACAGGAAGACAGAGCTGGAGACAACAGGTAACAGGGGAGACAGGGAAGGTGTTTTCTTGAGATAAGGTAAACCTGTTTGTGTGCGTGTGTGCATGTGTGTGTGTCTGTGTGTGTGTGTGTGTGTGTGTGTGTCTCTGTGTGTGTCTCAGCGTATAAGCACATGCTTAAATGGCTGTGAGTGTGTTTGAAAAGTGACGACTCTGTGGTGAGTTCTTGGGAGAGTAATGGCCATGGGTGTGTTCTACCGACTCTCCTTTTCTTTCTCATCTCCTCAGGAGTCTGTTTTTAGACCTGTTCTTTACTGTTCCCTCTTCTCGGCATCACTTTTCTTCTTCATCTCACCTGGCCTATTTCTGGAAATCCTTCAATATGACCTCAAATCAGCTCCTGGGAAGACTTCTCTCCCACCTTCCTCGTGAGTGTCCTCCATTCTGTCACAGCAGGAGTGCCTGGTATATTGTAACCCTTGCTTCCCCTATTAGCTCTATGAGTCCCTTTGAGACAGGGCCCATCTCCATTCCTTGTTCCAACCCAAGGATCTGTCACAGTGGCTGCCACACAAAGAGGGTAGAAATGTCTGCAACATAGGATTACCTGGGACATCAGGAGCTGAGGAGGTGTCTCCTCAGGATTGAGTACTGCATTGGATGTCCCTCTTGTGTTTTCATTGCAGCTGCACCAACCACAGTCCCATCCCCAGCCACAACCACACCTACCATAGCCTCAGCTGCACCAACCAAGACCACAGATGGGTTGGAGACCTGGGCCATCATTCTCAATATATTTATGATTTCCATTACCCTGATCATCATTTGAATCATCTATTACATTTATAGGAAAAGGTAAAGAGGGCAGAATTGAGTGGGAAATGAGAGTCAAGTAGCCTGGAATGAGGACCGGGAAAGGTGAATTTCCAGCCTGTCCTTGCCCCCTCACTGAACCTTGTCTTTGTGAAAATTAGTCTAGGGAACTAACATGTAATATAGCCTGATAGCAATAACTTGGACAAGCTCAGCTCTGAGTTCTGCTATTTTCTGTCAGAGCAGTGGGAAAAGAAGGGTCCCATACCAAGGCTTAACCCCTGTAGATGCTAAAGAGCTTTAGTGATTTCAGTCCTCACCCACATTCCTTGTTTGGGAGAGTGTGTTTGGGGCCGGTGTGTGTGGTGTGGGAACAGCAGGCACACAGGACATGGGAAGTACTCCCATTCAGGTGAGAGCAGCATAGTGGCTCCATGTGATATGTCTAGGGTAAGGGAGTATCCAAAAGGCTAAGAGGAGAGGGGTCAGGTCAAGGTCAAGGCCTTCCACCAGGAGGAGAGGTGGAAGACCTTTCAGAACCAGTTCTAAATGCTGGAGTTTGATCTGCCTTCCCAGAAAGTGGCTTCAGAGACATTAGGTAAGACAGATGGCCAGCAGTATGGACTGTGCAGGACAAGTTAGATGGAAGCCATTTTTTTTTTTGGAACCCCCTGGGAATTCTGGGTGCTCTGATTCAATCACCTGGCAGCCAGCCTCCTCCACACTCCAAATACTGAGCCCCTGAGCACCTCCTGCCTTGAGCAAAGGTGACTCCAGGGATAGGTGTGGCTGAGCTTCTGGTGGAGTTGGATGCTGACTGTTGACTGGAGCAGGGATCCATGGGGCAGGACAGGGATACTCACTCTCAGAGCTGTGAGCTGTTACCAGGATGAGGAGAGCAGTCCAACCAAGGGTCTTTCCACAACCACGACCATTCCCTGGTAGAGGAACCAGGATGCAGGCCTCTCTCTCTGGACAAGGTTCTTCTGGGCTTTTTTAAAATCAAAATTTAAGTAGAGGGAGCATCACAGTTCATTTGCACCTTGAGTCTTGAGCCCCACCTGTCTTTGGATCTGACTTGCTTTGTGATAGGATATGGGTACAAGCTATAGGGCCTGGGGTGGTGGTGAGAGCTGATGGGAAATACAGGACTCTCAGTGAGGGTGGGGCTCTGAGCTGGAAGGGTTCCGGGTCGGTAGCCCCCGGGGAACTGACCCAGGATTTTCTCAGCCCCTGAGACAAACATGTGTTTCTTTTCAGGTGGCAAAGATGCTGCTCAATTACTCCTGGAAGTGTGGTCTAGTTCAATATGCGTCCCTGCTGCTTGGCTGCCTTTCCACCTCCAGCAGTGCACCTGATGGCCCCCAGGAGCTGCAGTCCTTACAGCAAATGCAGAGACCTGCAGGAGGTCAAGAGGATTCAGCAGATGCTATGTTCATGTCCTAAATTCCATGAGAAGTTTGTCAACTCTGCACAGTTTTCAACATTTGGTTCCATTTTCTCTTGGTGCCAATTGTTATAATTCTTGCAGTTAGCTCTCTTAACTGCTTGAAAAAGAAATCTAGCCAGAGAGACCACTTTCCAGTCTCCCCTTTGGTTGTAGAAAATTAGATAGAACTCTGCATCAGGACCTCATTGTAGCAAATGAACAAGATACCGTGTGATACTTCAGGCTTTGCAGATCAGAAGTCTGTTGCAACCACTCAGCTCTGCTGTGTAGCGTGAAAGCAGTGATAGACAATACTTGACCAACCTTTGGGCTGATGCTGAGTCAAAGCAGCCAGGGCCTCACCACCTTTTAAAGGGAAAATGATATTTATGATGGTTACCTTTAGAAAGTTTTAAACTATGTAATGCTATTTAAAGTTATATCTCTCTATGAAATAATACTATAATAATACAATTACTTAGGGATTTTGTTTTATAACACAGTATTTAAGGTGATTATTGTTTGTTCGAATAATGCTGTAAATAAAACCAATGGTTCTGATAAATTACTATGGAAACAGAATTTACAATCTTAGTCATGTCATGGAATAAAAAAAATCATATGGATTCTAAGGTACGAGGATTTATCTGCTATTACTGCACACTCCACCCCCACAGTGACTTTCCTGTGATTCTGTCCCTGCAGACTCACCTCCTTCAGTGGCTGAAACATCTCTACTTTAAAAAATATGTATTTCAGCCGGCACCGGTTTGGCTCAGTGGATAGAGTGTCGGCCTGCGGACTGAAAGGTCCCGGGTTCGATTCCGGTCAAGGGCATGTACCTTGGTTTTGGGCACATCCCCAGCAGGGAGTGTGCAAGAGGCAGCTGATCGATGATTCTCTCTCATCTATGTTTCTAACTCTCTATCCTTCTCTCTTCCTCTCTGTGAAAAGTCAATAAAATATGTTTATTAAAAAAAAGAATAAAAAATATATATTTCATTGACTTTTACAGAGAGGAAGGTAGATGGAGAGTTAGAAACATTCTTGAGAGGGAAATATTGATCAGCTTCTTCCCACTGGGGATTGAGCCCACATCCAAGATACATGCCCTTTGCTAGAAGCCAATTCCAGCACTCAGCAGGGCTGAATCACCTGAGATGGCTAAAAAGCATCTCCCCAAAACCTCAATAGGACATTTCCCCAAACATGAATAAGATAATCATTTGCTTCTAGACAGCTCAGGGCATTTTAATGCCTTTTGTTGGCCAAACACCTGAACAGCTGTAGGTTATTCCCCAAACTGAGAATGCTTCTGTAAAACTACCCCTTGAAACTGTACCCTTTGAAGTATGTCTCCATATTGCCTTAGGACAAATTGTGTTAATAAATAGCATGGAGGTCCTTAGACAAGGGTTAGTCTTTAGCTGCTTTTAGCTGAAGCTCCTCTGACCCCTAATGCCTTTCAAAATTATCTTTCTTTTTTGGACTCCTTCTGAATCTATGAATCAGCTCCTTTAACCAGAATGCTGAACCCTTTGTTCGGCTGGGACAAGAACCCCTGGCAGCTCTTGACCAGAATTGAACCAGGACCCTTCAGTCCACAGGCTGACGCTCTATTCACTTGACCAAACTGGTTAGAGTGGAAACATCTCTACTTCTCAAAGCTGTTTAATCCCCTCAAAACAAAGAATTAGCATCAAGGACACACAAAAAACTACAAATAAGTTAGATCTCATCAAATTGTTCAAAGATGTAGGAGAAAGGTGGTGAGGAGTCCAAGGAAAATAAAATTTAAAAGACAATAATCTGGCTCTTTTATTGGATTTGCTTTGCATTTTTGGATGAGGGGGTGCCTTCAGTCTCACAGAACATTTGATTCTGGTGTTTCTCTCTTGGCAGGAGATGCAGGTAATTTTTATTTGATTTCCTTTTGGATCTTTGTATCATGAGGTACATTATTATTGATTATTGTCCATATCAGTCTATTTCCTGATTTTTAAGGACAGCACGATTCCCTGCCAAGTTTCTTTTTTTTGTGAAGACAAAACTAATGCGTAAGGCAAAGACCCCACGGGTCTTCAGAACTCCCAGTGATAGGTTCTGTGAAACACCCATGCAGATATGGAGTTGGGGGTACGTGGGGGAGTGGTATAAATGAGGAGAATTGGCCGATGGATCTTCAGACTTCACAAAACTGTCAATCTGCAACAATCTCAGCTGGAGATCTCAAGAGCATGAGAAAAAATGAAAGTCGTGTGTACACACACACACACACACACACACACACACACACACACACGAGGGGACAGACCTGGACCCTATCTGCTAACCGCTTCATCCCAGGAGTCAGACAGAGATCATGATCGAGTCTAAGCACCAGGTACAGGGGCAGGAATCGCAAATGTGTTTTCTGAAAAGCCTCTGGATGAGTGAAGGCTGGACTGGGCTGCTCAGGAGCCAGGGCGTGGCGGGACCCCAGGAAGCCTCTGTTGTGTGTAGAGCAGCGAGGGGTGGGGAGGGGAAGTTGGTGGGAGAAGCTTTTGCTTTCTTTCTTCTTCTTCTTCTTTTTTTTTTTTTAAATGTATTTTATTGATTTTTTACAGACAGGAAGGGAGACAGAGATCTAGAAACGTCAATGAGAGAGATTCATGGAACAGCTGCCTCCTGCACACCCCCTACTGGGGATGTGCCCGCAACCAATGTACATGCCCTTGACCGGAATCGAACCTGGGACCTTTCAGTCCGCAGACTGACGCTCTACCACTGAGCCAAACCAGCTTTGGCGAGGCTTTTGT